GGAAGCATGATGAAACAAAAAAATTCAATAATTATATAGAGAATTATTAACTTACTTTAAAAAATACCACACGGGTCACTCGAAAGTACGCAGAAATGCAACAACAGAGTTGAAATTTGACAAGTTCTAGGGGCCAGTTTCGTTTACGAGCTTACCTCGAGTTTTCTTTTCCAAATTGCAATTAATGTGAAAGTTAAAGCAAATGTAAGTGCTTCAACGTGAATTTTTCTCAAATCTTTTTGTTTTAAATTTTGATTTTTGTTGTGGAAAATGCATTTTTTCCTCTAGATATCTTTATTTTATAAACTCTCTCTCGCGTTGATGTCAAGCAAAAATAGCAAGAGAGATTAAATGTTGACAAATATAAATCTTTTCATTAATATTGATATTATAATAATTAATTAATAATACATAAAATTTGGTGAACAAATATTGATGTCAATGATACTTAATTTATTTTGGTTATTGGTACTAAGTGAAATAAAAAATAAGCTATGTACTAAAAATTAATGGAGAAAATGTATTTATTTGTTACGGAGAACAGTAAATAGTCACCATACAATTAGTGACACCTACCATGCTTAATTTTGGTAATAGGCATAAATGGTGCAGTTTTAATTAATACCAATCGGTGAAGTTTAAATACGAACCAAGTATGCCCTTACGTTGGTACAAAGTATTTCGTGAGTAAATTTGGTACCGATTACTGCTGCAGGTTTGTATGATAGATTTTTCCCGGCACTCAAAAAAATATAAGTACGGGATGAAGTAGCTTGATGGTGGTAAATTTTAAATCTCATGGATTTTATTTTATAACCGTCGTTAAATAACCGACCCAATTTAGGGTTTACGACTACTAATGTTCTCCGTAGCCTTCGAATCCAATCCTGAAGACAAGGGAACTCCTGGATCAAGTATTGGGAGAAATTTGCCTTGAAAGATGATTTTTTTCTTTTTTTGAATTAAATCACAATTGCGCTACATGGGGAGGAAAACCACTAAAAACCTCCCACGGTCAGCCTGACGGCAAGGGAACTCTAACCCATGATCCTGTCTACCACTTATGATATATCACGTCATCACTGTGGTCGGTGCAAACCGGATGCGGATTCGTATAGACCAGCCATATCCGGGATTCGAACTCAGTTCACCTCTTTGAACGGCGAACGCTCTATCTCCTGAGCCATCACGACTTAAATCTCATGGATTGCCTCAAGCAACAGCATTATGCCAGATTATACTGAAAAAAAACTGATGAAATGGGCTGGCAATCTAATGCAGATGTACAACATGCCAAAAAAAACGGACCACCCTGAATAACTTTTTATCTAATGATCGGATCTTCACGTTCTAGGAGTCATTCTTAATGGTCATGGGGATGACTCCAAATATGTTAATTAACTAGTGCAGATGATATTTTAAGTTACGAAATCAGACACAAAAAAGTACTTTCTCTGAATTAGCATACTTTCTTATCAGCGCATTCCAAAAACCCAAAACATAGGGGGTAGCCGCAATCTGGAAAATATGGTCCCCATAGTTTGGTAAGGAGAGCGATCCAAAGTTTGCCCCCCCCCCTTAATGTTAATTTTGTTTTTTGCATATTTCGCCGTATTCTAAAGTGAATTGAAAAATTTTTTGCACACAATTATAAAAATTCGTTCATCCAAAGATAATTTCATGCAAGAAATAAATTTTAGTAAATATTTACTATTTTTTATTATTTTATTTACTAACAGTGGTAAAACTTTTGAACAATAAGATCTGCAAATTTTTGCGTAATTTTAAAGTATCTATTTCTACATGGCAGAATACAAATTTTGAACGCAATCGGTCGAATAGTTCCTGAGAAATCATATATTAAATATATGACTTGTTTAAAATTTGATTTTTCGGAAACTATACAATCGATTTCGCTCGAAATTTGTATTTTTCCATGTGAAAATAGATATTTCAAATTTAAGTAAAAATTTGCATATCTTACAAATTCAAAAGTTTTACGACTGTTGTTATTAAATGAAATAATAAAAAAGAGTTAATATTTACTCAAATTTATTTTTTGCATGAAATTATCTTTGGATGAACGAATTTTTATAACTGTGTGCAAAAAATTTTCAAAAGTTTTCGAAACATGGCGAAAACTCAAAAAGTAAAATTATCATTAGGGGGTCCAAACTTTGGATCGCTTTCTTCACCAAATTATGGGGAGCCCATTTCCCAGATTGCGGCTATCCCACTGAGAATCGGAAATCCGAATTCGTCGAAAAAAAGATATGTTTATTCAGAGAAAGTTCGTTTTTGTGTCCGGTTTCGTAACTTAAAATATCATCTGCTCCAATTAATTAGCACATTTGAAGTCACCCCCTCAAACCATTAAGATGGAGTCTTAGAACGTGAAAATCCGATAATTAGTTCAAAAGTTATTCAGGGTGGTTCGTTTTTTACACTGTACAGCTAAAAGAGTTTTTATGCGATCGGGGAAGCATGTAAACTCTCTTTACACACATAGTATCCCCAAGTGATTTTGCGCTCGCTGATTGGCTTTCTCGGCAACGCCATCCGTGACGTATGGCTATTTCATTCTGCCGTGCTTGTTATTTTCAGCATAGAGTGATTTCTATACTCCAGCTTTTGTGTACAAACTTGAAATGTTAGTTTTTTTAACAGAGAAACTGCCTTCTTCATTTAAAAATTAAATAAAAAATATTTCCTCAAATACCATTACCCTTAGAAGCAATGTTCTAAATTTAGACGATTGCAACAAGTGGTTAATGGAATTTGGGGAACTTAGCAATACGAAATGGAATTCTAGAACTTTCAAACCTCATGGACAAAGATTTGTTTGTAGGTAAATAACTAGTTTAGTTATTTTAAGAAAAATTTGGTATTTAATTTTTATGGGAAATGCTTTTTTCGTTAAATTTATGATTATTACATGCATGAATTCTTATGAAGCTAATATCCCTCTAATTTATTGAATAACATTGAAATCGGATTCAATTGCTTTACTTAAATCCTATACTCACTATAAAATGAAAACGGAGTAGTTTTCACTTGATATTTATTTCATTAAATTAATGTTCATCGAATTAAATTAATATTTTGTTTATTTCTTGTGGATTACTAAAATTAAATTATAAAATTTTTAATTTAACATTTATTAGTGGCGCCATCTATTATTATAAATTAAAACTAAGAGATCTGCATTATGCCTACCTATTTATAACTTATTTTTAATGTTTTTTTTATTTGCTAAATGTTTTATAAACCGAAAAACTATTAATTGACATCTAAGAAATCAAGCAATTGTCTTTTAAGATGCTTATTTTATTAATTTTCGATTGCATAATTCCCATCAATAATCCCCCAAAAAATAATTATGAATTGTCCATTAAATTAATACCATGAGTAATTAAAGAATAAATTTACAAAAAATTCCCCCTTTTAATTCTAGTGCATTTCCATCGGATTGTAAATATTTTTTTATTATTTAATTGCTGGAAATTATTTGTTTGTCACGACAGTGCGTTTATGAAAGTGCCGCAGGGGAAATGTAATAGAAGTTTTTGAAAAATTCGACACTTTTTTTTTGCTGAATTATAATTACATTTTTTTTAACATTTTAGAATATTTTCCTCTATGATATGATAAAATCTCTTTCAAATAATCAAACATAATTTTAAATATTTATTTATATACATTTTAAAATCTCATATAATAACAAACGAGTGGTTCTGCAATCATACTTAATAAATTTAAGTAAAAGATTTTAATTTCTAAGTGCATAAGGATATTCACAATGCTATTCAATTTGAATATTAATCAATTCTTATATAAATATTACATAAAAGCTAGCTAATAAAACTTTAATTTATGTTTAATAATTATTATTATACTAGTTTGATGTTTTACCAAAACATGATTGTTTACCTCTCATTTACCTAAATTTCATAACATTAATATTAAAAAATATTAGCATAAAATTTAGAGAAAATTAGATTTAAATAAATGCGTTATTATTAAAATACAGTCAATAACGCTGTTTAATTTTTTGAACAAAACTTTAACATTTGCCATAAAATTAGTATGAGGAATATACTGGAACTGATTTATGATTGATTTACATTTTGGGAACAAACTACGGAGAAAAGATGATCGGGAGAAGCTGTAAAAAGACGTGACAGAAGGCAAGGCCGAGAAAACCAATCAGCGAGCTCAAAATCTCTTGGGGATACTATGTGTGTAAAGAGAGTTTACATGCATCGGGGAATCGACCAAGTTGAAAGATCCAACCAAAAAGTGTCGGTATTTGTCTTAAAATTTTGTGCACGATTTTATAGTGCTGTCCAGTACTGATTAAGTGATGCTTATTTTTTAACCCCTTGCTAAGCACGGGTATTCAACAAGTTAAAATTTAAAAAAATATTTGAGAAATAAAAATCGTTCCCTATTTGATTTATCTCGTCTGCGAGTAAAATTTATTTCTTCTTATCGAGTACGTATTCCTGAGGTTGAATTTTTTCCAGACGATAAATTTTCGTTACGATACACGAATTGGAAAAAATATTCGTTCTACAATAATTACATATTAAGTAAACTATCTGTGTTTTTACGGAAAATATTGACTTTTAAGGGGGAGGATGATGAATGAGAAGCAATTGCGGAATAGAACTTCCTGTTAAGTGTTACAATAATTTTTAAAATTTTACAATAAATAAAATACAATAATATTTTTGGAGAAAAATTATTGTCTATGGTTTCAATCCATACATTAAAGGGTAATTTTTTTCTTCTATTATTCATTTACTAGAAATCCTTGAAGCATTTGCAGAAGAATACAAAAATTTAAAAACAAAAAAAGGTATGAGCACCAGAAGAATTGTTGTTTTTTAAAGTTTTGAAGCACAATTTTATAACTTTTTCTCATAAATTATCATTATTTGAGTCTAATAAAAATATATAAAAATTTTAATAAGTATATATGCGTAGAAAAAACATACCTTGGCACTTATTAAGTGGTGCTGTAACTATTAAAATCGTGAAGCAACATATACACGTGTTTATCTTCATATTAAAGAACAATAAATTCACAGTTTAATTTGTTTCCCAACTCCAAGCATTTTTTCGAAACAGTTCTTTTTTATTTTTAAAAAAGCAACAAAGAAGAAAACACCGACGAAATTCCGACTGTTGTGCCGCAAACCTGACATAGAAATGCCGGCTGCCGTTTTCGTACACATTATTTGGCGAAAATAAAATTCCAGGAGCTCCTCTCAAACGCCAAACCGCCAATGGAAATCGCATCCCGGAAAACGGGAAAATACTTTCTCTTTAAAAAGTAACAAATTGAATATATTTCCTTGAATTAAAAATTAATGGATTAAAAAAAATTTACTTTTTAATAGGAATTTTAATGTCAATTTTAGCCTTTCCGGGAAATAGGACGAGGAATATTTTAAAATAACACTAATTAAGAAAATTCGAAGAAAGTGCTTCAATTAAATGAGGTAATTAAAGGATTTTTTTTAAATACTCTTTCGATCGAAGGTAATTAAGAACATTTCATGTCGTTGCAAATTTTAGTCGACGGTATTAAGATGGTAAATTCGATTCTTTTTTTTTTTCGCTTGTTCCAAAATGTTATTAAAATATGCGTTTCAAAGGGAAATAAAAACAAAATAATGTTTCACTCTAAATAAAGATTATTACTTTTAAAATTATGAAAATTCTTGCTTTGCAAACTGTATGTGCGTGAAACTTAAAAGCATTCATTGTAAAAATCCAACCTTTAAATTAACTGTTTAAGCCATATTAATTTGTACAGTGCGCAAAAAATTGAACGGACCACCTTGAATAATTTCGATTTAATGATCGGATTTGCCCGTTCTAGGACACATCTTTAACAGCTCAAAGGGGGTGACCTTAAATTTACTAATTAATTAGTGCAGACTATATTTTAAGTTACGAAATCAGACATAGAAATGTACTGCAAACTTGAAAATTTCAATTTTTAATGACAAAATACAAGATTTGAGCGAAATAGGTCCAGTGGCTCCTGAGAAATCGAATTTCAAAAATACTACTTTTTCAAACGTTAATTTCTCAGAAACTATTCGACCTATTTTGCCCAAATTTTATATATATATATATATGGGTCATTCTCACGAAAACTGTCATTTTTCAGTTCATAAAATCCCAAAAAAGTAAAGTGAATAAAAAGCTCTGAAACTTTTTATATTAATAGAAATATGTAATG